CCTTCTTCAGAGCCTGAAAGGATCACAACAATTTGCGACTATCCGAACAAAAGTCAACATTTTGGAGAATGCAGCAGGCAGGGGTTGAATTATACAGCTTTATGCTATCAGATCATACAGAGAAAGCTACTACTAATGAAGAAAAAACTCAGTATTCTGTCAAAAAATCGAAACTCAGTGAAGTAAGTAACAGTTCCTTTTTTTAACAGCCAGGGTAGTTATAAAAAAGGCGATAAGAAGACAAAATATGCATGCAATGGTCATTTGACATTTGTTTTTGCATTATTTTTTGTATACAGATAAAGTTATCTTTGCAGACACAGCGTTTATTACCTGTATTTTATTGCTATGATATGTCCTTGTTCAATCCAGTGGGGTATCACAAGCTATCGCCACCTTGCTTCGACCTTCAAGTGTTGGTATTCTGCTTGTGAGGGCCTCTGTCGTAGAAGTTCGTCCCTATCTGCTTGCCGCAACTAATAATTTCAACTATTCTTCTTAGACGAATACGCCGTTGGCGCCTCACCTAAAAAAATAGAAGTAGAAATAGAAAAAAACGATAAGAAGACAAAGTAAACGTAAAACAATGATTTGAGTTCAAAGTGGGGTGCACTTTTATTTAATGATAAAGTCTTCTATACAGAAGTCAATTCCAATCCAGCGAATCGCCATCGCTCCTACCTTATAGTTCTGATACGTCTATATATAAATCACCTGAGTAATCTACTGAGATGTCATATCCCACATCACTTCTGCTCCCACCCACTATAGTTAAAAGAAAGTTCATGGGGACCCTCTGCCGTAGAAATTCATATTTACCTGGTTGTTCTACTTTACGAATTCAGTGTATACCTTCTTCGTTACAGATGAACGTACTGTTCACGACCATCCTCCTTACGACGGCAGTGATATCTGCAAAGCCCTTGTGAGTTCCCACATGGAAAAAAAAACTTCACAAAGAGCAGTGTGCAGATGTAGGTCCCTCATTACCTCATTAGATGCTTTTAGTGATCGCAAATCACCAAAAGGAGAGCTGTATGCAGTACTGGTGGCCGGATCCTATGGATGGTACAATTATCGTCATCAGGTTTATGTCTATAATAATTGTTTTCTGCGCTACTTCGCTGGGCTTGCTCTTGCTAGCTAACCTTTGAAGAATTTTCTAGCATGGCGAAATAGAAGCAAAACATGAAGAGATAGGACTTTTGTAGCAAATTACAAATTCGCAGAATTTCAAAGTTCGGGCGTCTTACTGGGATCCAAATTATCGATTTTCGCTATGTATCCTTGTGGGCGTATTCGAGTCCTACCACCTGCTGCCTGTGCTCCCATCCTGCCGCATGTACCCCTACCATATTCGAGAGTTCNCTCATTACCTCATTAGATTCTTTTAGTGATCGGAAATCACCAAAAGGAGAGCTGTATGCAGTACTGGTGGCCGGATCCTATGGATGGTACAATTATCGTCATCAGGTTTAAATCCATGATAATTGTTTTCTGCACTACTTCATTGGGTTTGCGCTTGCTAGCTAGTCTTTGAGGAGTTTTCTTAGCACTCTCAGAAATAGAAGCAATACATAAAGGGATAGGTTTTCCAAGATAAATCACAAATTCGTAAAAAATCAAGTTTCGGACGTCTCAGGTCTAAATTAACAAACTTCACTAGCCTTCTTGTGGATGCATTCATACCACCTTCTGCCTGTACTCCCATCCTGCCGCCTATTCCCTCACCATATTCGAGAGTTCTAGCTCCACGGGAACAGGAGCTATCAATGTCCAATCGGTTAGACACACCTGTACGGACACACAGGCACACATACACACAGATAGACAAACGAAACAGACTCACTTAGAAGTTATGGACAGTAGTATTCTAGCAGCCTTTCAATCTTGTTATTTCATCTGTATTAAGGCTGATGTTGCCCATGCGTACCATGTCTTGCTCGATCACGGAGTTCCGGCAGAGAATATAATCGTAATGATGTTCGACGACATTGCCAATCATGCAAAGTAGGTACCATTGTCAGCAGGTCTCACGACCAAGAAATTTCATAACTTAAACACTGTATATAAGACGTGTTGATCCTTGATTTATACAGTTTATGACTCTCGAACATCTTTCCGATGTCTCTGTTTTTCTCTCCAGGAATCCATATAGAGGAAAACTCTTCAATCATCCCAACGGTTCCGACGTCTACGCTGGTTTGAAAATTGACTACAGGGTAAGTGAATGTGTTGGTATCTAAACCATAGCCGATCATTCAACTATTAAACATAGAAGATTTTTTTAACAGGGCAGTTCGGTCACTTCAGAAAACTTCTTAGCCGTTCTCAAAGGAGATAAAGATGCAGTGAAAGGCGGTAATGGCCGTGTGATTGAAAGGTAAGCACAGTGGTTTTAATTATATGGATCACCTGAATTAAGCTACTGGTACCTTTATAGCACCGAAGACGATCGTATTTTCGTATATTTCTCCGATCATGGGTCTATAGGTCTTATCGCCTTCCCAGATGATCATGTAAGTGTTGATGTGTTCATAAGAATGTGTACGCTGGTGGCTACTATGCCATCATTTTAGACATGATTGGAATAGAGTGTTTCTGAAGGTGATGCTATGAACAATCAGGGGTAGCTGTTAGTGTTCGCAGCTCCAAACAACGTTTGAACCAAGGTCGTCTGGGTCTGTTGAGTATATAGCGACAAGGTTGAAGTTTGAGTTCCGTTTTACGAAACGCCATGACTGGGGAGGAGGATAGTGCCAAGAGTTTACGGACACTGATTGCAGATGCTTTTTTGAGATGGCCATGCAGTACTGGGAAGCACTGAATTATGTATGTTGTTGTTAGTAACAGTGCCCGGATAGCACAGGTACGGGTTCGAGTCCCTTCCGAAGCAGAAGTTCTGCCCACAATTCGCCAATCTTGTGAAACTTCTGGAGCGAGTACTGAAGCGAAATAACAGCAGTTTGTATAACATTAAGTCAAAGCAGCTTAGTAAATAGTACATCTATATCGAATTTAGATAACCCGTTGTTAGGATTTCCTAGGTGGGTCATGGTTTGTGGGAAGAATCCCATCATTTCAGCTGACGGCAAAGCGGCTGCACTACGCCTTGAAAGAAATGCACGAAAATCATAAGTTTGGTCAACTGGTGTTCTACCTGGAAGCTTGTGAAAGTGGATCAATGTTCAATACGCTTTTGAAAAACGATATGAACAGTAGGTCTCCACGAGGAAGTAGTTTCCAATTAGCGATTTCTTTACTACGTAAACACATTTTGTGAGCACTCAAGTCTTTTTATACAGTTTACGCTATTACTGCTGCCAATGGAATAGAATCATCGTATGCCACATATTGCGGGAACGACCTCAATTTGCCATGTCTCGGAGATGAATTCTCTGTGAACTGGATGGAGGATTCCGACAGGGTAATGTTCAAATCCTATATGTTCGTTTCTGTTCTGTCAAGCTCCGCCGTGAAACTACAACTTCCAACTTTATTCTTGAAATTAGCGTTCGTGAATTTCATAAAGTGGACTGTTCCATATTCGATTGATGCTGTCGTAGCTTTGAAATAACTTCTGTGTAATACCCTATTTCATAGGGGCAAGTGGCGCACCAGACGCACATATTCACGAATTCGATCCTGGGATCGATATCCGCCTGGACCAACCAGGCCTCACACCCGTCCACGGTCGGTTAATTGGTAATAGGCTCGTTTGGGAGGATAAAAACAGTGACTTGTACATCGGCTGGCCATCGCAACTCATTTTATAGACCACTAGGCATTCAATGCGCCATTACGATTCTGGGGGAAAGTCGAACGCGGAGCGCATCCTTCAAACGGGATCGATTAATGCCTACAGATCTTTTATCCGTTCACCTTGAGTCAGTCTAAAGGAATTCAACCAGAGATAGCCGTGCTCATAGGGAATCCAAAAGTTCTTAATTCTCGTCAATTGCTCAACTTTTTTTTCAACATCCGAAATTGTAAATTGCGTCTCCGAGTAGATGAAGTGCTACCTGCGGGCAAACAGCATCGTAAACCCTTTATTATCAGTAGAAACTTCGTTGTCAGTGTTTAAAGTGCATGCTTGGCATTGTACACTGAAAGCGCACGAAATCGTGATTAGTCTGATGGCCATAACGATGGTCTCTTTCACTACTCACGTATTATCTCTTCGAGATTTGTGCGTAGTAGAACAACTTAACTTTCTCAATAAGTGTGAGTGAAGCGGTAGTAAATGGGTTCATTGGGTTGCTAGGTTATTGGTACATTTGTCCGATTCTGGATGGGCGTGGCACATTGCGCAGTGAACTGGGTCCGGGAACTTCTCCCCTAACACGGCGTCGCACACGCCGCACCCGCCGCCTATCGCAGGATTGCGATGGAAGATTGGAGCGCGCAATTTTGAGGTAGGGAGTCCTTTAATTATTTAAATTGGCTGGCCGCTCTTTTCAATTCCAATGCGGTTTTGATGGTCGTTTATATAGGATTAATTACATTTTAATTAATCAAGTCTAATAAACATGAAAACTAAAAAGAAACAGAAGAAAAAACGATAAAATTCAATGAAAAAGCA